CGCAACGGGAGGTCCTGCAAGCGCGAGGCCCCCTGGGAAGAGCACGCCACGACCAGGGCGCCACCCCCGGGCAGGCCCTGCTGGCGGTCGGCGCGTGTGGCCCAGTGAGCGCCCCGCACCCATCGCAGGCTCAGCTGCGGGCACCTCGCTCCAGATGCGGACCCTACGGGGGGCGTGGGACCGTGCTCACACATAGATGCTCGGAAAGGCGCTGCGGAGCGAGTGGCCAGGCCCCGGGCGCAAGGCTGCCTCTGGCAAGCACAGCTGCTGCATCCTTCGCTCCCTCCCCCCCAGCAGTGTTCTTAACGCGTGCCCCTAGGGACGTGCAGAGTTCTGTGACTCAGGCAGGCGCATCCACCCCAGAGCCAGGACTGGCCGTGGCCGGAGGGCAGATCTTTCCTGCAGTGGCGCCCCCAGCGCTGGAGCATCGCCACACGCGTGCCTCCGCCGACAGGCGAAAACAACGCTGCTTGCCCAGTGGGTTAATCTTCCACACACAAAGGCCCTTCCAAGAGCGGCTCTCCAGATTTCATGACGACACCATTCCGTCGCTTGCGCTGTTTCCCACTGATGTTATCCTTGTGATGGTTTTCTTGGCAAGGCTCTACAAATGCCATAGCTTAAAATGAAAGGTCAGCTTATATGCCTTAAAATAAATTCCTCTAAACCAATGCATACTCACAGTTCCGATAGTTCACCTTCCTTTAAAACCCTTTTCAAGGATATTAACCTTGCTGTATTCATAATCCATACAAATAGGCCAGCAAAACCTGCTAGAGGCAATTCTAGCTTTCTCAAAGGTACCATGGATTTCAGTGGCACTTACTCTCCAGTAGGCAGGTATAAGAATGCAGCCTAGTGGCCGTTTTATGCATGTTTAGGCAGAAAAAAATGGGACAACTCATCCCGGAATGTCCCGTTCTGGCTGGCTGGAGCACAGAATAAGATGAAGGCCTTCTCTCTCTAAATCTGCATAGTGTCGCCCTCTTCGTGGCTTATCTATTTGTGCTTCTGTTTGCTGCATTTCCCCAAAATAACAGTCTTCACATTCTTCAGATGTTGCTTGACTCCATTACTTGATCGCCTGGAGAAGAATCCAGCTCACCCTAGACAACCCAGACTGCTGAGAAGCCTGGATTCGTGTGGGAAAGGAGATGCTCTGCGGCCGACTCCTGAAATGCAACACCTGCCCCGGCCTTTGAAGCACATCCTTGAGAGCAGCTCCTCCTGCGAGCACAGCGCTGGGTCCCTCAGGCCTGGCCTTTCCTATCGAGCAGTCGGACGCCAGAGCACGGGGCAGAAAAAGCGGGGAAGGCGGCGAGCCGGCCCCGCTTACGCCGATGCAAGAGCAGGGCGGCCCCCGCGGCCCCCCATGCGCCGGCCGACCGGCACTCTGCCTGCCCCTGCTCCCTCCTGAGCCGGCCGCACACGGCCAGAAAGGCGGCATCCGTCCAAGGCCGCTGCGCTGCAAATCAGCTCACGCTACTCCGCAGTCGGAGTCACCTTTGCATTTCCCAAGCTTCCCAAAATAGGTTGCAGCCTTTGTTCGCCTCGCGTTCCCGCACGCCTCTCCTCCACCCCCCCCCCGCCGCCCCACCATCCGCGCTGCTCCGGTCATTAAGAGGCACGGCAGAAGATCATCCGTCTTCTCTCCGCGAGGCTCGTAATGTGAAAAATGAAGCTTAAGAAAAATTAGCCAAATTACCAGCCCAATCCTTCAGCGGCAAGCGGCGGCTCCGTTAGGCACGTCTGCAAAGACCGGGCTCGAGCGCCAAGGCGCACGCGGGAACGCGGCACGCGGGGAAGAGCGGGGCAGGCACCTGTTCCAAGGGGAGCCGGCCGGGCAAGAGGCCAGGAGCGGGTCCGGAGGCTGCCCCCCACCCCGGCACACGCCCTGCCCCGCTCGCTCCCCAAGACCGGGGTGGGGGGCTGCCCTGAGCAGCACAGCAGCAGCGCGAGCGGAGCCAGGCCGCCTTCCCCTCTTGCAAGGCGCCCAAAGCGAGCGAGGGGGCTCTGCGCCTCCTCCACTCCCCCGCAGCGTCGCAACAGCCCTGTGGGGCAGGCAGGGCTGAGACTCAGTGACTGGCCCAAAGCCACGCAGGGAGCTTCGGTCCAGCAGGGCCTTGACCCCGGGTCTGCCGAGTCCTCCTGTCCCACAAAAGCCCCGAGGATACTGCCAAGTTTGACAGCAGCGCAGGGGCTGGACTGTTGGGTTTTACTGTGGTCTTATTTGTTAATTTCAACATTACCTGTTCTATGGTACATTTTAAAATTCTTTAACCCACCCAGAGAGCCTTCCTGGCTAAGAGGGTGGGATATAACCCCAGTAAACAGAATAAATTTCTGTGGATCCAAAATGCTAACCACTACGGCCTGCTGTCCCGCCTGCACTCTGTGGCTTATGCTGAACCGGCACAGACATTCAGAATACAGGCTGAGCTAAACAAGGACCCTTCTTCACAACTCTGGCAGTGGCAATAGGAAAAGACTCTGCACATGGGCAGGGGCAGTGTGCGGGGGGCAGTTCTAGAAGAATGCAGACAGGCCCAGAATGAGGGTTCCCAGGAATCTCAGGCCTCGCTTCTAGGAAGGCAAACACTCCAGTCCTGACAAAATACACCAGGAAGATGTCGCAGCAATTCCACCAAAGCCCGAGAGGTCGCCGAACTGTACGCCAGACAGCGGGGCCTCGCCTGGCGTTTCAGGAGCTCCCCTAAGGAGCAAGACAGGAACGAGACACAGGAACGGGGGAAAGATCCGAGCAGAAATTCTGAGAAGTGAAATAGACCACGCAAAGAGGCTTCGTTTGCAGAATCCAAGCAAGCTGCAGGATCCGGCCTTTTTCTGCCCTCGGCTCTCGTAATCCCCCCATCACTGCTATTAAACCATGTATTTGCGAGCCTAACGCTCTCACGCGCACGGGCAGCGCCGAAGAACCATCAGGCACAGAACGTTATGAGCACAGGAGCAACCCGGACGAGTCCGGCGGCTCTGGACATGCCAGACGGCAGAGCACGAGTCAGTCGCTGGCAGACCTGGGTGTCCCCGTGCCCTCCGGCCCTGGAAGCGCGCCCCCCGGAGGGCAACCAGCTGGGTGGGGCGACCCACGAGGGCAGCAGGCACGGGGCTGAGCTGCCACACGGAGCCCCGCAAGCGGCGATGGCGGAGGCAGCAAGACCGGGGGGGAGGCTGCCTTTCCAGGACGCACCTGAAAGGACCCCCACCCGGACCCGGCTTTGCATCGTCTCACTCTCGGCTCATTTTCTGAAAAAATGCAGATTTGCCTCTCCTGTGAGAGACACGAGGGGTATTTTTTAACAACGCGTCGGAGACTGCGGCGTCTTCATCGACCTTGGACTCTCCCCAGCCCAGCTCTGCTCACGGAGCGGAAACCGCGTGCGGAGAATCCGCACAATTACCTGCAATCTCGGAGCAGAGGAACAGGTATCCCTGGGGGGGGGGGCGGCCTGAGGGACCCCAGGGAAGCCCAGCAGCCGGAAAGACTCGTGTCCTGGGCCAGTGGCTCCCCGGGGCAGAGCAAGACCCCCCCCGCCACCCCCTTTAATCAGACATGCCGGGGATTGAACCCGGGCGCCTTGCCCCGCAAGGCAGGTGTTCTGCGGGTGAGCAGTGCCCCCCCGCCTCCCCCCCCGCACTCAGCCGGGAGCGGCACCTGTGCCACCGAAGGCGCGTGAAGCGCGGCGACTTGGCCAGGAGGCAGAATGACGCGCATCGTGATCACAGGGGAAGCAGCGGGGGAAATTAATTATCTGCTGCGGAAATGCCTTCGCGAGCGCACGCTCCGCTGGCGTGGGGAGGACCCCTGCACTGAGGGGGCTGGGGAGACCCACGGCGGGGGCAACGGTCCAAGGTGCAGTGCAGCGGCCCATCTCGGGGGGGGCCTGTTTGTGGACACGGGGGCCGGTCCTTTCGACTTATTACTGGGCAAAATGCTCTGTGCTCGGAAAAGGCTCCGAGAATCGTCGGCACGGGTTTCGGAGCCGCCAGGACAAGGGAAGCGGCACCCTGAGCAAGGGGGGTGGCGGAAGCCAAAGCCCCCCGCAGGCGCGACCGTCAAGCGCAGCGTGAGCGCCACCGCCCCGCGTGCCACCTGCCCCGTCACCTGCGGACAAAGCACAGGATGGAGACCGAGGGTCGGCTGAGGCCAAAGAGCTGCGGAAGGAACAGAAATGCCAGGCCCCCGAATCATTTTGGGGGGCTCCCAGGCAAGCAGCCCTACCCCACCAGAACCCCCTTGAGGACTGCCAGGGCAGGGCATGGGTTAACCCTGCTGGGGGACATCGTCTCAGTAGACGCGTCTATGGCCCAAACGGCAAAGCTCAGCAAGCGACTTTTAAGACGTAAAATACAACCGCCTAATAAAAGATACAATAAAGGACTCAAGTTTCAAAGGGGCCCCAATCAAGAAGCCTGCAGGAATAATCGAAACGATGGGAACGGCGCACAAAGCTTTGGTCCTCCTGCCGCTTCCCCTCCTCTTCCGCTGCAGGTTCCACACTCTGGCAAAGTTTGTATTGCAAGCTCCTTGGGGCAGAGACCACCCTATTTTGCCCAAGTCACTCTGTAAACCACACGGGGGGTGCTAAAGAAAAGCAAGCTCTTCTTCAAGGCGATGGCTGAGCGCAGGCACGGGGGACGGGGCGGATTTCGCCATCTCAGGGGAGCATCCCCGCAAGGGGGCGGGGGTGGGAGAGGGAAGGAGGCCGCCTCTCGCAGACAAGCGGGCCTCTGCTACCCCCTGGCGTACGGCAACGGAGCCAAGCCCCGGATGAACCTGCCAAAGCAGGGCTCAAAAGCTGCCAGTTCCAGGCCGATCATCTAATGCAGCGGCCGCCAACGGCCGACGGCCCGCCATGCCGGGGCGCCCCTCGTCTCCGACTGATGCCAGGTGCAGTGCCGCGCACGGATCAGGGATGCCTTCACGGACGGAAGGGCCCCTTGCGTGGCAGCAAGGAAGTGCAAGGTAACTACAGCTGACATCAGTAACTGAAGTCCGTTTATTGTTTTCCAGCCTATTCCAGAACCAGACCGTGTGCTGCTTCGATCTGTAGATAAATTCTGCTCCTTCCGCTCACCAAGCAACCCAAACCGCAGCAGATTAACTGGTGCATTACGCAGATTAAACGTGCGTGTCTGTGGCAAACAAAAAGAACTCCCTTTCCATGTGACGTGTGGGCTTTGCAAAATCTGCACCAAGAACGAAATACTCTGCATACTTCATGTAAAGATGCATTTAGTGTTTCCGACCGTTTGCAGGCTGGATCTTGGCTCGGCTCACTTCCTGGCCAGGCCCGAGCACGGGAGAACCATCCGTGGAGGGCAAGAGTGCCGGATTCTGGCCAGAACCCCATTCCCTGTCCCCAGGTGGCATTATTTTTAGCAACATACATTCCGGACATGTACTTGCTGTTGCCGTTAATTACAGAGAGACCTGCCCCACCAAGGAGGCTGCTTCCTCGAAAACATTTTTAGCATTTTGCTTGCCTGGAAGGATCGCCGGGAGCAAGGAAGACGTTAAGAGCACACAAGACTGAATCAGCGCAGGATGACAGAAAGCAGAAAAGCCGTGCGCAGCCTGGGACGGCTCCCTCCTCAGGACAGAACCCGGGGCCCGGCTGCCGCCACGGAGCACAGCGGGGTGGACATCCCAGCCTACGGGCTATGCTGGCTGGGGCCGCTGGAAGCTGCAGGCCCCGCATCCACAGGACACCCTAGAGGTAAACGGACTGTGAAGGGAGGGCAAGCAGCAAAGGGGGCGCGTGATCTGGAAGGGGCAACCAGCCGCTCAGCTTGGGAAAGTGTCTTCACTTGCTATCTTGGTTTCTGGACGCATCCTAGCGGCACGGGGGGAACTGTTAGGGAGCAGAGTCAGGTCAGGGTGGCTCCCGAGGCCCCGCTACTCCTGTGTTCTGCTTGGAAGACCCCCACACCCCACGCCCCCGGGTTCCCCCGAGCCCCACATCCACCTCCGAGCATCTAGTCCCGTCTTCAGCGCAAGGAAAAAGCTGCACCACTGGAGACAGCCTGCTCAAGCAACCGCGACCCATGAGAGCACCAAGAGCGCCCTCCACGCAGGGGGGGGGGGTGGCTCGGCCCCACTAAGCACCGCATGGGGGCCCCACGACCTGCATACACCCATCCCAAATTCCAGAGCTCCCACGACTGCGTGGAATCCTCTCCAGCAAAGGACCAAGGAGCTGGCCAAACCCACGAGGCCAAGGGCCGGATCTCCAAAGGGCGGGGAGTCTTCGTCACCACTGCTACATCCCACTGAAAACCTCCAGCGCTTCCGCCTTCAGAGAGGAGAGTGAATGTACGAGGATTCCCGGGGCCCCGATGTCTGTCTCCCAGCACTCAAACCCACAGCTGCTGAGGTCGCCGATGGCGGCTCCCACCACCGAAGGGGCCGTGTCTGCCGAGAGAGGAGGCACAAGAAGGCATCACGGACATAGCAAGCGCTCAGGGTACCCCCCCCTCGACACGCTCTGCCCACCCCGCAACCACTCCCTCGGCCACGCCACCGCCAGCCAAGGGCCCTTTGCCCTCGGGACACGACGACTGGAAACTCTTTCCCCCTCCCCAAATACCCACAGGCACGCGATCAAGGGACCAAGCGCAGAACAAGCAGAAAGAGCAGAGCGCAGGTGAGGCAGCACCTCTGGCGCACACAGAGCAGGCACATGCTGAACACGACGCACACGACCCCTGCGCAAAGGCACCTGCCGCCCAGCTCAGCCTTCCCCAGGAAACCCCCTCAGGCCTCAGCGGCGAACAGCGGGAGCTCGCACGGCGCGAGAGCGAGAAAGCGCGGACGAGCCCGCCCCCACGGCCCACCGACCTGGCCGCAGCAGCGTGATGGCGCAGCCGCCTCCCCCGGCGCCGGTCAGCTTGCTGTGCAGCCCGCGCTCGGCCGTGAGCTGGCAGACGCGGTCCAGCGAGGGGTGCCCGACCCCGATCACGCTGAGGTGGTGCTGGTTGATGTCAATAAGCTCCTGTGGGGAAGAAAGGGGCTTTTGGCGTTCGTCCGGAAGAGGGTTGCCATGGGGGCGGGGGCTCGGGGCCGGCGTGCGGCAGGCCGGGCTGCCAGTGTGCCAAGCCCAGAACTGCCCCTCGGGCTGGCGGCAGCTCTGTGAAGCCCCCGGGGGAGCGGGATTTTCCCAGTCCTCCTGCTCGGAGCCCTCACGACTGAGGATCCCGCGCTGAGCCTGCCTGTTTTCCTGCCTGTGGGATGTGGGAAACCCCACTGCACTTCCAGAAAAGCAGAAAGGGCAGCGCCCCAGCTGAGAAGCATGCCGAGAGCAGGCAAGGACAACAGGGGAGGGGAGCAATGGCCACTGGCCCCCCTCCCTTGGGAGAAATGGTAGCGAGACGATCCCAGCAGGGCGAGGGTCCGCTCGGCTCCTGCAAGGCCCACGCCCTCCTGGTCACTCTGCAGGCGAGATGGGACCACCCACCTCGAGGACCGGGTAGTGGTCCTGGGAGGGACCGTCTGCCATCGCTTCCAGGACGCTTCCACACTCCTGAGAAATGGCGTCAATCGAGGAGAGCACCGGCTCCATTATGGCAGGAAACTGGAGAAGGAAAATTGGGTTGGGGCGCACCAAAGGAAGAGAAAGCCCGCAGGCGTGCCGAGAGCCAGGTCCCCAGGGCTCAGTCTGGTACTCCACGCTGGGAGCCTTTCAAGATGGCTCCAGCAATGTCCAGGAGCGCTTGCCCTGGCTCTCCCAGAGGGAGTTTTGATTCCTGGAAACCGTAACTTATGCAAACATTGGGCCTTTTGGCTAAGACCGAGTGTACTATAGCTGTGAGATCCACTCTGCTAGTACCTCTGCTCATTTTTGTGATTTGAAATCCTGAGTATATACTTGCAATATTTCCCATAGGTTTGCAGTGCGATGTAACGAAAAAGCAGGTGCTTGGGCAAGTACCTAGTCAAGGACCGACCTGTATTATTTATTAAGGCACCGTCAGACTCCTCATTTGAAGACGTCCACGGTCCTGACCGATGAAAGACCCATTTTTGTGCCTTGTTGGATAAAGACAACAAGAGAGAAAGCAGTACCTTCAGTAGCTTGTCTTTCACTCCTGCAACAAGGACTTTGGTACTCCGTGGGATCTTTGTGTTAGTCAGTAAAATCCTTAAAGTGGGCACCCTTGAGAAAAAGACAGACGGAACGTTACCTCCTTCGCAAGGAGACCACGCAAATCGCAACGCCTTAACTATTTTACCAACCCGCTCGGATCGTAGTGGCTCCACCGCTTTTGATGAGTTCACACGGACGACCGTTACAAAAGCTTTCGATTTATTCAGGTGAACCCTTCGCAGCCCATGCGCTTCCCTTGACCAGGGCTGGAACACCGATCGAGAGCACGTCTGAGTGGAATTCGCCTGTGGCCACTTAACAGCCCGACAAAAGGGGCGTGTTTTGCCAACCAAAATGGCTTTGCTTTCTAACACCGTCAATGAGAACAGCCGGTATCCAGCGTTAGCCACTGACAGAGCAATCTCATGTCTGCACAGGATTTTAATCGAGTCTGATTATAGCTCATCAGCAGAAGGTACGGGGTGGGTGACTGCGGGACCCATTCCCACACGCTCTCTTCAGAGCACTGTAAATACTAAGCGAGCGATCCCTCTTTCGCAGTGCCGATTTGCGAATTGTCACCGCTGCTGCAGCCCCAGACAGGGGCCCAGGAATTAACATTGATCTGTTTCGTGTGGAATTTTTAAATCATAGCTGGTACAGAGAAAGTTCGAACACGGCCAGCGCCAACCAGCCAAGCTGAAGACTCTCACCCCCTTACCCCAGAAAAGCTGATTAGTTAGTTTCTTTTAAAGCTGGACCACCAATCTTTAGCAGAGCACACATGGCGTTTATACGTCCAAATTGTAAGGGAACCCTGAAGAAGACAACCACCTCAACCAAAAATGGCACCTTATTTTTAGAAAAAAAAATCCAAATTCATTTAAATGTATCATTTTTTGTCAGCAATAGGAAAGCAGGACATTCGTTAACAAAACCCATCATCTACATCCCGACAGGTCGCCGAAGAGTTCCAGGCCCCCTGGATCTCAGCTACAACTGTTTGGTGGCGCACAGAAGTGTGCTCACTTCCCTGAGATCATGATCCTGAGCACGGAGCACAGCAGGTCTCTGTGTGCCTGCCTAGGCGCAAGTTTCACCGAGTTCAACGGAACCGCTTCTCAGGCATGTGGGCACCAGACTGCGGCCCAAATTAGCCACTTTGCAGGGACTGTCATGGGCAGGGCTGGGCAGACGCCACTGGTCACAACCACCCACTGCCACAGGCAGGATGCGACTTCCCCTCCAGCCTGCCACCCCCAGCTGTGGAGATCTCCAACCGGCTCAGCCTCCAGCCGATGCCTGTCAACCATCCAAAGGAAAAGTCCAATGGAGGAGCAGTTTATAATCTCACCCATCACCTAGAAAACAAGCCACATAGCTATGCAGTATAAATATTAATGCCCCAGTAAACTTTACTTTTTCAACGGCGTGATTTTTCCCGACTGGTACCGCAACGCTCCACCTAAAAAGGAAGGGAAAATACAAGAAAAAGGAGAATTGCCACGACGCGAGCCACTTTATCAGATGTTCTGCCTCGCTGTGCCAACAAAAGGAACTCAAAAAATACAAACAGTTCTTTGTTCTAAGCCAAGAGTGGGAAAAAGTTCCAAGTGATGCCCAGAAAAGCACCGGGTGTCATGCCTGCAAAAAATACTTTGTGGACCGGCCTGCCAGTCAGCCCAATTCTGAACTTGCCGAGCACTTCCCGCGGTGGCAGGGGTACCCACAAAAGATGACAGGCAGCGGAAAGGAGCACATACCCCAGGTGCTCACTGCATTGTCCACGCCAGACGCGTTCCCGTGGATCACCTGCTCCCCTTGGAAGGCCCAGCTGTTGATTCGGCTCATCTCGTCTTCAGTCCAACTGAAACACACCACACCACATGACCGTGGGCAGCCTCTCTCCCCCTGGCCACAATATTATCAGCGGCAAGGCTGCTGACCATCGCCCGGGTCACAGGCCAAATTCAGGGAATTTACAGGGAAGCTCTCAAGGGACTTGTTCCAAAGTCAAATTACAAGGAACTGGGACTCAGAATACCAGCAATACTATAAACATCCACAGGTAGATAAATGTTCTGCCAGGAGCTAAGACTTAGAAAAGGCGTTCAGCCTTTTAGAGCAAGGAAAAACCTGCAGAAAAGCTGGAGGACACCAAACCACCAGCAGAGAAGGCAAAGGAGGCGCAGCCACCCAGGTGCTTCAAGTGGGCAAGGAGAAAACAAGAGTGGCCGAATACCAGGACCTTGCAGCTGCGGAGCCCCCCCAGCACCCACCCACACGCCCCCAGGCCTATCTTGGCAGCCCGCTGCGCGCCACGCCTCCCTCTCCATCCTTCTGGGGCTCCTACCGTGCTTGAGACTGGCCGTCTCTCAAGGGGCAGCGAATGACCCCACATGCAGACAGCAATGCCCCAGCCAAGCAGACAGAATAGGCAGCGCTGGAACCCAGCCCGGCCCCCGTGGGCAGCTCCGACCACACCGAGATGCCCACGCTCGGCAGGACCCTGGAAGATACAACAGGACAAGAGTTCACTTCAAAACTGCAGCCGCCTCGGAGGAGCCGAGCCCAGACGTTTCAAATTCCGCACTCCAGAGAGCCATGCCTGAACACCCAGCTCAGAACTGGCTCACAGGATGCGGTAGAGAGAACCCGATGAGTCTGAGGCGCCAAGAGCGACGCCACCAAAGGAAAGCCGGCTTTTCTCAGGGCGTGGAGAGGCAGCGTCGTCCACAGATCCGCGGCCCCACCACAGAGGGGGAAAGGACGGCCAGCAGCAGGCGCAGCCATTACCTGTCTTTGGATGCGATGGCGAGGTACAAGTAGAGGAACGCGACGGCCGCAGTGCTGTGGGCGGCTGCGCTCTCGGTCGTGCCCACAAACTCTTTCAGCTTCGCCACCTGCTCTGGGCTGGGCTGCTGAGAATCCGCCGGGTCTGCTGTCGAAAGAGTGAACGGCAAGGAAGAGAACGTCAGTCTCCGCTCGGGACGCGTGGCAGCACCCCACTGCGTGACAGTCCTTCCTGCAAGTTAACCGAAACTTCCACAGTGTAACTTGCTTTATACAGGTCAAGACCTCAACTTCAAACGATCCCACAGGGAGGCAGCGCCATCCAGGCCTTCCACCACGCTGGCCCGCAGGACGCCAAGAGGCCGCCCCTCTCGCCTGCCCCCGACCACAGCTCCCGGTGGGCCGAACGCAGGACTCACCGGGAAACGCCACCAACAGCGGCCGCAGCTCGGACGTTTGCCAGCACAGCCTGGCCCCGATATTGGGCAGCTGCAGCAGGACCTTCCCGTCATTTCGGAGGGTCATGCGGAGGAAGGTCCGCAGGTTCAGAGCCACCGCCAAGGCGACCTACGTGCAGGGATCACAGGCACAGGCGTCCACACGCAAGCGCTACAAACCCCGCCTGCGACTGAATTCGAGGGCAACAGCCGCGCGCAGCAGAACGACCATGCCCGACGGGCATCGCGCCTTCCCACCCTCGTCGCCCAAGCGGCCCACGGGGCTTCGCTCCTCTACGTTTCGCCGCAGAGCAGCCACCCGGCCGGGCAGGTCAGGCTGAGAGTGCCCCGCTGCCTCAAGCGCCCGGGAGCCCCGTGGCCATGGGACGGGCAGCGGTTCTGTCCCCGGACAGGCACCTCGGCTCGGGGCGCCGCGCAGGCCGTGTGCCACGCTCGCCCGCCGGCCGAGGGGCTTACCTTGCCGTGCACCACCGCGTGCTCGCCGTGCAGGATGACCTTCCCCGGAGCAGACACTGCCCAGGCCTCGCTCCACATTCCGCCGGCCTCTCCCTGCGGGCGCAAAGCGGCCGTGCGCGCGCTGAAGCTGCCTGCACACCTGTACGCGCGCCCCGCCTCCGCCCCGCACACCTGCACGCGCGCCCCGCCTCCGCTCCGCTCCGGGCCCGGCAGACCACGCGCCGGGCCACCCAGG